GTCCAGGATGTTGGGCTTGGTGACTCGGAGCTCGCGGTGCTTGGGGGGGACGTACCCATCCCTCAGCGAGATGAGCACGGGCTCGGCGTCCTGGCCCGACAGCCACTCGTCCGCTTCTAGGGCCGGCTCGGGTCCCGGCGTGTCTGGGTACAGGTCGTCCTGGAACAAGTCTGACTGCGGGGTGATGGGGGGAGGGACAGGGGGACGAGGGTTAGCAGGTGCCGGGCCTGCTCCGCTCCCGTCCACCTTGGAGCCCTGCCCAGCCCCTCACCTTGCGGGGCACAGTCATGATGATGGGTTCACACTTCCTTTCGTGCAGCTTGTAGAACCTGTAAGGGAGGGGGCTCAGCACCCCCCGCAGGCTCCCCCCCCCGGGGAAGGGGTTAGAGGCCGGCACTTGCGCAGCGCCTGCCAGGCGCTGCCCTTTAAGCACATGGTTAGTCCCGCTGGGAAATGCCTGATGGGGTGTCGGTCATCATCTTACAGATGAGGACACGGTTCAGAGGCTGTCGAGCTAGTTAGAGCGGGGCTGGCGCTGGCAACAGCTGGTTTGACACCCCCGCCCCCGCTTTCCCAAAGATCACACTATTGGAGACGCCCCCGTGTGTCCCCCACGGGAAGTGAGCACAGGCGGAGGCTGCTGACCGGGCGATCTCGCATTTGCTGACGTCCAGCCCCCGCTTGGGCATGAACCCCATGCCCCGCTGCGGCTCCTTGCTGCTGAACGTGTTCAGGTAGTGCACGAAGGGCGGCTCGTCGGTGATCTCAAAGTACCGAATGCTGCTGTCGCCCTGCAAAGCCAGCCGGTTCAGAGACGCCCCGGGCAGGCGCCCCCTCCCCCCGCCCCCCGGCCCGGTCTCCCCGCCGGCCCGGCGCGAGCACCTTGCCACACAGGTAGACGATGCTGGAGTCGGCATCGTAGAAGGGCAGGAGGACCCCGTTGCTCGTGTCCATCTCCTGCAGCGCCACTGGCTCCACGAAGTTGTTCTGCCGGAGCATAGGAGGCGTGAGCAGCCCTGTCCCGCCTTCTGCGCGGCTCCTGGATCCCCTGAAGCCCCGGAGGCTTCCTGCCGCCCCCAATCCCAGGCTCCCATCGCCGTTCCCGTGAGCCGAGTGGCAGGCCCCGCCCCAGGACACGCCACTCCCAGGCCCCTGCACACAGGCCCCTCAGGGCAGCATGCAGTCACCGCAAACCACCCCCAGGGACTCGGCATCACCAGTTGGGGGCGCCAGCGTGGGCTCCTGCAGGCGACGCAGCAAAACTGGGCGGAGGGGTGGCTGTGCGGGTGGCAGGCGCTGCAAAGAGGGCAGCAGCCCCCAGCCCTGTCCAGGTGGGCATGCCCTGCGGGTGGGGGACGCCTGGCCCCTCTCCCGTGATGCCAGTCCCCGGGGCACACACCCCACGCTTCCAGCTGCGTTACCGGGTCCCACAGGCCCAGCTCTCGCTGGCTCATGCGGGTGAAGCCCGTGGTGAAGATATGACCCTGGCGCGTGAAGATGGCCCGCATGGGCCTCATCCCCTCGTGGGCCGCAAACCTCTCCTGGGGGCAGGGGGAAAACAGGGAGAGGCGTCACCCAGCTGCCTGCCCTGGGGATGCTGGAGGGCCCAGCAACCTGCTGGCGGACTTACGGGGGTGGAGACAAAAAGGGGCCTAAGTACTCCGCTTCCGGGGCCCTAACTGTCCCCGGGCCCGGGGTCGCGTCTGGGCCTTGGGAGACCTGAAGGCGTGCGTCTCAGCGGATGACGAGCCCTTAAGCGCTCTCCGAGGCTGATCCCTAGAGCAGGGGGGTGTCTGCCAGTTTCCCGGGGACGCGGCGAGGCTGCTCCAGAAGGCGC